AACGTTAATCACTACCAAAAAATAATCTTACAATGGTAGAGAAATCACCAAGAAACAGAAATTGAAGATTTCATTTAACGTCATTCTCAATAATATATCTAAAACAATTTTATAAAATACACTTCAATTATTTCGATAAATAGATTAATACTGGTAACACTGCTTAAACTGTGATTCCAGTAGATGTAAATAAATAGTAGACTATTTATTTCTATAGTTTTGAACTATACAAACTCAAAAGCTATTGAGTTTCACATTATGCCTTCATAAATAACAAACTACTTCCATGGAACAATTGAATTTAATTACTGTGTATACACAAAAACTGTTCCCTCGTTTCCCATATTTCATGCTCAATTCGCTCGCAATTACTTCTAATCTGAATATGGAAATGTTTGAACAAAACATGTCGTATACGTCCATACAGAATAGTAACAAAATCAGAACTGAACTTTCTAAGCGTTTAGATATCGCATTGTCTACTTAGCTCTATTAGCCTTTTACTATTTGGTTTTCCTGGACAAAAATTGACAGTAACATCTGTGTATACTGTGTATATTGACAGTAACTCGAGTATATGATTGAATAAACTGATTAAAATTTTATGACTTGTCGAATTCTTTTCAAAAGTATGAATATCTATTTGAAAACAATGGCTTTTATAGTTGTAATAGTTACACCATAAATTCTATTTGATAGCAAGCTTGCAGTGCGAATTATCTATAAAGTAGTTAAATCCTCAAAGTATCAAAAACCTTCAATAATATAGCTCTATAAAAATGTCATTCTCGTGCAATTAGCAAGTGAATTACAAACTTTCCACTTGAAATAATTGACAGCTTATGCCGAGCAACTCTGTGTATATATTTAACGAACCTTGCAGTTGGTATGAAAATAAATTTGTTCCAACGCCATAAAAAAATACCAAAAGAATATTGTTTCATAAGGTTTTATCACAGTATATTCACTTTTCAATCTTGATTCAATCGCAGATTCAGAATCGAAATATTTACTCGACTGCCGGAGAAGTATGGCCAAAATACATGCGCCCAGTGGAACGATCGTTCGAACGAAAATTCAACGAAAGATAGACGTGGAACGATACAGACAGGGAAAAAGAGAGAAAATTCAACGGGTAGAGCATTTCTTGAAGGAATAGTTTTATCAAGTTTTCAAAGAGGACAACGAGTATATAGAAACTCGGATGAAACTGTAGCAACAAGAGTCGTTAACGCCAAGGATGTGCCCATTGCGAATGCACAACATTTCGCGAAAGTTATCCCCTCTCCCCTCTTACACCCCGACTGGTACACAGTCTTCGTCCAGGACGTCGTTGAAATATTTATATCCGACAGCAAACGTCTTAACTTTCCTAATATCAATAGCGCATCGCCAACTTTGGGCACGACGACGACGACGACGACGACGACGACGACGTATGTATATACATCTCCTACAGCTGCTACAGCGCATAATATAATTCTAAAAACTCCTAGACAGTCCACTCAATGTAGCTTCATTCATATGCTGAATTGTATATCAAACAAAAAGACTTTAAATAGTTGTGTATCGACTCATCTTTACATATTTACTTTGGACACTGAATTCCTATCGGCCACGTTTGATTCGTCACATAAAATAAAACCAACAAATTATCGATGATAAAATACCAACGTATTGTCCAACTTTATTGTAATTGAGCAGAAACTTTTTCAATGCGTTCAATGAATTAATTTATAGATGGCTGCACAGCAACTAAAGCACGATCAATCGTCATCGTTGTAGCAATTTTATGGTCAACTATAAAATCTCTCGCGCTTCGAGTGATTCTTATGATTCGCCCGTGGCGTCATAACCAAGTCATTTCTCTCTCACACAGTGAATTCTAATATTAAATCCTTTATTTCAGTTAAACTAAGTAGAAAAGATATTGGCTCGCAGCCAAAATGCCAAATAATTTTCATGAGAGATGAAGTAACGATTGAACTAACCAAAGCTTATTTCATTTGAATACCTAGTTTACTAGAGTTTGTAATTGCAGGTTTCCACTAATTTATTCGATTGACTAATTACCATCGTCAAAGTAAAATATCGATACTTGACTATTAGGATATAATGCGAGATGATTTCATTTATAGTATTTTATTTATTATTTTTAAAGATAGGCTCTACGGTAAAAACTTAACATTTTGAACTTAAAAACAGAAAATATGTTTTTTCTGTCAACTTTTAGTAAAGCCATTCGAGCTATCCATTGAAATTGCGATAATAGTAATTTGTAACTAATATCACAATGGAATATTATTTTTCAGATTACCAACATTTTATGTTAATTTTTAGGTGTCGATAAGAATTACGGTTACTTTTAATATTAAACCGGTAGATTTTCCATGCTTGTTCGAATGAAAGTTATTTACGTATAGCTGAAAAAAATATTTTGCTAGTGTATGCAGATGTACTCCAGTAAAATTTGTGATTAAACGATATTTTAATCTTGAAATGTTACCTAGCTTACATTTTATAATGTACGATTTTCCTCAGTGCCTTTGTATCTGCAGTACATACAATACCTTTTTTTCCAAAATTTGAAGCAATCTTCCTGAAAGGCATGTACATTGACAATACGCATTTTATGATTTCCGCGTATTTCTCTTTACAAACAAAATAAAAATGTATGTACATGCACGAGTTAAACCCTGCAATAATAATAAAATTGGAAGCACGTATAATTATAAAGTTGATTCGAAAGTCTTCTAAATTAAACTTGCTCATTAATTTTCAAATAAATTCATAAATATGCGTCAGCAATAAGTACGGAATATCGGAAAACTTTATAAAATAAGATAAAATAAATAATTCAGCGAACGTGTAGTGGTAAACATGCAGCAAAATCCGATCGCGCAGTGAAAAAGTCGATGTATGAAAATGATTATTGAATGTTCAATAAACCGCATAAAGTTTATTAAAGAAAAAAACTAGCATTATCAATTGGTTTGTACTATATGGCAAATTGGATAATCCGTAATTAAGCTATGACATTCGAGAAACTAGGGGGATGTATCTCGCATGAATTTCATTCAACTAATCGAACTAAAGCGCCACTTCGCAGTCGAGCTGACTCGTCGCGTGTGAACACGAAAGCTATATTATTTGCTTGCCTTAGGCAGCAGATTTATTGCTCTCACAATCAGAGCCTAGTGGTAATTAAATGCTACAGTTCAATAGCTGGAAAATCGCAAATGTTTGTTTGTCAATAATTGTAACAGTCAAGCATAAAGAGCATTGCTAAAGGCTTGACGATAAAAGCCGTTTTTGCACGCTAATTATCACGGATTTTTCAATGTTTGCCAAGACTGCTTTTTGTATACATGTCGAAAGCCACTGATAGAATCCGGCAGCCCACAGACTGCCTAGAGAGTCGGCAGGCTGCCCGCAAAGAAAAAAATGATCCATTGAAACAACTATTCTTTCATCTGCCTGATTTCATTCAGACAGTCAGCAATTAAAAGATTGATCATTCCAAATGCTACAATTAGTCGATTGGCCGAGAAATTTGTAGAATATCGGCAAATAGCATTTAAATAATAACTAACAATCGAATGTTGAAAAACTGATTATTACAAATTTCATGTATACATTTTCTTACATTTCCTTAGGTAGCCGACTGTCTACAAAATTCGAAATAACTATTCTTTCAATTACCGACAATCTGTAAACTCCCTAGGAAGTCTACAGATTGTCAAATTCTACTTGTAACATACATATATTTATTATATATTTTCAACGATATTTTCAAATTTAATACTTTTATGTTTCTATTGCGATAAGTCCAATTTGAATAATGATATTATTTAATAAAATCATTAAAGGAGAATTTAATTGCTATTTTAATATCTTACAATTATTTATGATTATTTTTTTTTATTTCATAATTAATGGTCACTGACTGAAAAATATAAAAGTCGAAACATTTACTTCAAAAACATTTTTATAAATAACCGAACAACGGCTATCCATTCATACTTATTAATTCCATCAGAAATAACTACGTGTCTCGATCTGTTGTTAATCCGAGTATTTTTCCAATGCATTTCTTCACTAAAGCTTGGGATGAGCTCTGACATGTAAAAAAAGAATCTATTAAGCGAATACGTTCAATGCCAATAGAATAGCTTCGCGCATATGTACAAACGGATGTATACTATTCAGTATTCAGAGCTCACATCGCATCAAAGGGAATAATGCGTAACGCTGCATGCGAATGACGGATTTTCATAGATCCGGCCATCCTCTTGCTCATCCGCTACATTGAAATGACAAACAGATGTGTGTGTGTGTGTGAGAGAGAGAGAGAGAGAGAGAGAGAGAGAGAGAGAGGAAGAGAAGAAGAGAGAGAGAGAGAGAGAGCGAGAGAGGGGTGAGGGAGAAACGCGAAAAAGAGGGAGAAAATAATGGTCTACCGCGAGAGGAGTCGGCAGTGACGTGTCCGACAAAAGAAATGAAATTGCCTCTCGACCTACATATAACAATTTGTACGCTGCGGTAAAGCTGATACAAAAATACAACGTAAATAACGGATACAATGTTCTCTTCGTATCTCGTTTTTTCTCATCAAATATTTTCTGTATGCTCTTGGACTTACTGACCATGGGCATTTTTTTTTTAAATAATCCTTAATTAAACCTATTATTGCAATGTTGAAAAATGTAATGTGAAATATTTCATATACTACCATCTTCATGAATATAATATTTATTATAATAATAGCATCATTAACAAAACAAAATAAAACTGTTATATTGTAGTATATATAAAGATTAGGTAAATAATAATATTAAAATAATTTACGAAGGCAATTAAAAAATTTGATATTCTAAAATAATTATAACGGAGAATCACAGCCTTGCCAATTCGTTTGTTAGCTCTTACTATCGTCCGTTCGTCACTTCAGGCTAAGAATATGTATGTATGCACTCTCATACCGATTTGCTCTATTTAAGGTGCGGTGAACGAGATGATTGGCGGAGCCAAGAGCGGCCGACGACTGCAGATGAGGAGAGACGACGAACGCGGATTCAAAGAGGACAAGGAGAGAATTGACGTACGAGAGAGTTTTGGGGAAAATCGGTGCTGAACTATCGGATTGGATGCGTTGCCAGGATCAAGTTATTAAGGATACACGTCCAGTGCAAGGGGCGTGTAGGTCAGATTTTGTTGTTGTTGGTGGCTGGCTCACGCTTAGCCAATGTTGAACACGGCACTGGAACGTGTGAGGATCCCGGCAAGAATCCACGTCAACGACGCGTGCGACCGCTCATCCGAGCGGAGAGCAAAAACGACTAGCAACTGGACGCGAACCGTAGCAGCGATAACAGCAGCGGTAGGAGAACATCAGGAGGAGCAGCAACCAGAAGGCGGTTGCCGGGTCGCGAAGGTCGGTATCTGCATTTCTCTCTCTCTCTCTTTCTCCCTACCTCTTGTTCTTTGCATATCGTGTTCACACGTGTATAGCCAAGCAGTTTTGCTGTCCCCCGCGTCCGGAAAAAGGATTACCAAACAGTAATTCTATTTGGTGAATTAACGTCTCAATCAAAATCCTAATCCCGTTTTGGATTTTATATGCGTGTGTTTCATTTCTTTTTTTTTTTTTATGCTTTTTTTTTTGCGGTCTTTTTTGTAATAAAAGTAAATGTTATTTAACTGAGTATCTCCGTATTTCACCTGTCACCAATCCTCATCCCAAGTTTAGTTTCACATACGATTAATCTACACATCCGGTATATTATTCAGCCGACGGAGCGTTCGCGCCTCCCAAATCCGTCCCTTTTTAAATAATTTGTACAGGTAGCCGCGGATATCACCTTTCGAGTTGTCAATCGTATTTCTTCGTTTCTTAATGATAATTAGAAATTTAATAATTGAAATATCTCCTATGTACAGATCACATAACTTACTAAAAACTGATTTAATACATGCTATATATAAAAATATAAAAATGCTATATATAAAAATATCTGGAAAAATTTAAAAATATTCAGTCATTGAGTGACAGGAGATTCCAACCTATTAGATTTAGATAAAATTTTTAAATTGTATTTTTGCATATAGTTTTCAACAAAATTTCAAGGATATAATAAGATCTACTGTAAAACATCAACTTCTTGTATTGATAACACTTTTGTTAAATTAGATATGTTAAATTCTAAGGTATAAATAAAAAATTTTAATCACTAATCACTATGTATTAGTCGTTAGCTTAAAAACAAATAAAACATACGTAGTAAAGGAAGACATTTGTTCTAATGGTACTCATTTTAAACTAAAAAACTGCAATAAAAATCTATTAAGAAAATATATATCAACGCGAAATACAAACTTAACAACTAACATAATTATGTAATAATTATTATTATTTGATAATTGCTGAAATAAAAAATTGCACAAAATTATCGACAAATTCTAATAAAATAAAAAAAGTAAACAAAAAATATTTTAAGAAAAATATAGATTGCTATAGCAATAATTATCTCGTGCATTACTAGAGAACTATTATATAAGTTATGGAAAATGCAACCGTTGAACACATAAATTAAAAATAAACATAAATCGTATTCTAAGGTGCTTGAAATTGCCTTTAAAGGAGCTAAAATTGAATATAATAAAAAGAAATTTGATTTTAATAACAAAAATACTAAGTCATTAAGGAAAGTGATCAATCAAAAATAAGGCAAAAAACAGTCCAAAAGTAGCAATATAGCTCATTTAGTTGTTAATAAAAATGAAAAAATTCATAATAAAAATATTATTTTTAAATATTAGAAAAATTATTTTGAAAAAGTGAAATTACTAAAGTTTCTTAATAAGAATATTTTTCTTCATTATACTACAGTAGATGAAATCACAAAAATAATGTATGCAAAATAAAAAATAAAGCTGAAGGAGTTTATAACATAAGGTTAAAAGTTTCGAAAACCATAATTAATCATATTGCTGTACCATTAACATATCTTTGTAATGATCAATTAGATTATTTGACGTTTTGAAAAAAGCAGAAATCACCCCAATTTATAAAAAAATAGAAAAATAAGCTAAAGAATTATAGCATTATTTCTTTTATTTTTAACATAGGAAAAATATTTGAAAGATTCATATATAATAAAACATATTACTTTATGAATAACAATAAAATATTATCTAACAACCAATATGACTTTATTAATAATATTGGAACAAAATGTACGGTACTTGATACGATGAATTATAAGATCTTACTGCAAAAATTGTACACATACGGAATAAGAGGTAAAGCAGAAGACCTAAGAGGCTGCCTATTTGATAGAAAATAAAGAATTAGATTAAATGATGCAACTGTTATTATCTAATAATTGAAGCTCGCGTTCGATAGAGTATAATGCAGATACTCGTTTTGACAACTGCAAAGTCAATTGAATCTGATAAGTTGTTTGAATTTGAGGGCCACTACGTAGGTTTGTCCGTAGATCTATTGGAATTAGATTTTCTATTTGCATCACTGAGTATAGGTTAACTTTTGGATTTGGAATTATTGACCTTGATCCCTGACATGGAAATTACATATTGTAGTCTTCTCTTGCAAGAAATCGATGCCCGATATTTAATAATAATTGTTATTCTACCGCGTAAGAGTGATTTATATTATATATAGAATATTACGATATTTTCAAAATATTTTAATGCGTGAAGTGGGTTTCAGATATTAACATTATATTAATATTATTGTTTGTTAGAAGTTTTTTTAGTTCAAGACTTCTTTGGGCTAATCCGTTTGTAGTTCAAAGAACTACTTTAATTTCTATTCTCATTCAATATTATTTATGATTATTGTAATCCGATTAAACATTGATTTTTTTCTATTCATCAGTTGCATAATCATAGTTTCCAGCTGACTGTTATTTATCAGTGACGGCTGAGTTTGTTTATTTGTAATCCTTATATTTTGTAACATTATTGTTTGGCGCCTGCACGTACATGATGTATGGCTTAATGTTATTTTCGTTAATTTTATTCTATAATATATATAAATGCTGGTTTATCCTTTCTTAATAATTTTCTTTCCTATTCTATTTATTTTGTTTCTTTTGTCCTACGCGATTGGTCCCTTTAGAGTTCGACGACTGCGTAAGTGAAAATGAATCTCTGTCTCACAACTACGGTTTTTTTTATTTATTTATTGCCACGTTCCCCTGAAAGAGTATTAATGACAGTGATACATAGTAGTACAAAATATCTCATTAAATGAGCTTATTGACAGAAATAACTAATAACAAGAGTGGAAAAAAATGTATGAAAGGTAGCACAGAATATAATTATTTATGTAATCTATTGTTAGACAAGAAGTACAAATGACGAATGTAATTTTGTAGTAATAATCAATCTATTATAATTTATTCAAGAGTTTTGTTTCTTTGAGGATTTGATGACATTTTGACATTGGTAAACTTCATTTTGGATAAATTCTTTGAATTTTCCTAGGTCGGTGATATATTACTTGATCACTTTTAATCACAGTTGCTTTACTTTCTGAGTTTTTTCAAAAAGACTTTTAAATTGGTCGCATTTCAATCATTATATAATACATTAGCGATGTTCAGGAAGTCATTAATATTATGTAATTTCTTGTCCAGCTTGTGAATGGCATTGTCTTGTTGTTGTGAATTTTTAGCGTTGCTTTAGTTGATTTGGTCAGTAGAAGGTATTAGAGATTTAATTGTGTTTTTAGGGTCCGTTCTTCGTTTGTGTTTATATAACACTTTTTTAAATTAGTAGGTTTCTCACTTTGAGTCTAAGAGAGTTCATTTTGGGATTAATCAGAGCTTTTTTCAGAGCACTGTCTTTTCAACGCAAGGGAAACTTTATACGACGTATTTTTTAGTATAGAATGGTTAGTGTTTGTCTTGTAATTGGTAATAATGTCAATGTGGTCAATGTTTACGTTCTCCAGGATAGTAGCACAATTTTTTGTGGGATGGCCTTCTAGACTTCAAGTAAAGGTTTTAATAATAATATAATAACAATTCTTTGTTACTGTCTGATATTAAATACCTAATCATTAGCATATTTCTGATGATCAATGACATTACAATACGTGGGGGCGGGGATTCGCTTATATTTAGTGGTTTATTCGAATATTCTTACTATATTCTTATTTGAACTATAGTCAAATCTTCTGATGAACGTATTCAATTTTTTCAGAGTGGAAAAATTTGTAAAAGTATATAAATTATTAAAGAAAAAGCCTTAAGTCATATTGTATCAGATTTTCACGGTGATCATACATAATATTAGTAGATCAATTTTTCGTTACGTTATAGTACTTTAATCCATGAAATAATTTTTTCATCGTTTTTCTATACATCACTATCATATAATTCATGTTAATCCTTAACAAACGTATAATATATATTTTTTATTATCTATGTAACAAACTCTATAGAATACATTAGATTTAAAGCCAATAGTGACATCTAGCATTTGCTAAAATTCTAAATTATCATAAAAAATATGTCAATTGTATTATGCGCTTCTTTCTCATGATCAAATATGTAGTCCTTTCGACTTTAGGTCGACGTTGGCCAATTTCCATAAATTTGAAAGCTTCAAGCTAAAAAGCGATAAATGGAGGCGCCTCCAGCACTCTCCTACGATGTCTGCCTCCTATGATTCCAGCAAGCACTCGCGCTCTCATTCTTTCACTGTGTGTCGAACTATTCGGTTCGTTATCAAAGTAATCCTTGGTAATTTTTTAACGTGGACCACAAAAGACGTCATTCCTACTCTAGTGAGTATAGTTCATACGAAGATCGTCTAAAAGATGAACTTATTCAACTTTTAAAAAAGTAGCGAAGAGCTCGTGATAGACGTAGAGGCAGACCGTCTAGCAAATCACCGCAAACATTACCCCGCCAATACCAACGCTGATTACCAACTCCTCGGAGCTGTGGGTACATATTTTCTTAGCTAGGTATACCAAAAGGTATATGATGCAACAAAGTACGTAAAACTCTAAGTTTACGCTGCCTTCTCTACCATTACTGGTATAAGGCTTTGGCCTATCAATGCATCAGACTTTATTTTGCCAATAGTAATGAATATTCGTTATATTTTTGAATAAGCCATGACTTTTCTCGTTGCTACGGGTGCTAGCTCACACAAAGAAAATATGACTTGTCGGCTCTAAACCGGCGAAACAGTGCAATGCGACTCCGCTATAATGTAAACATTGGATTAGCGACGAGAACTGCCAGTCAACAAGGCTCAAATCTCACAGAGAGGAAGAACAAACGCCTAAAACTTCGCTTATCGGATTTATACTAGTCAAATACGATTGGTGACGAGCACATTAATTATCAAATTCTGATACACCTATATGTCTCTTTCAGCTTGAAGTGGAAGCTGCTTAGACAGCTCATCGAGTTGCAAAAGTCGTTCATAGGTCTCACGATCTTTTTCACACTAGCCGCAAGACAAATTGTATGATTCAACGAAAGCTGACGTTCCCGACAAGAACGTGAAAACTTCGGATTCAGCTATGTCCCGGAATGAAGTTTAAGAAAGATTCGGTAAGGATATTTTGAAAAAGAAAAAATACTCTCAAGCAGTGAACGATATGACAATTGATCGCTGGACAGATATCGTCAAAATCGGTTTGCCAGATCAAAAATATAAGGACACTACTGCTTTCTACGAAACTGCAGAAAATAATCTAGTATAGGATCAACTAAAGCTCAACCCTGAATAAAATCTGTTACCGGAGACCGCAATACAGTGTTACTCGAGCATACCCGTTAAGCAGACTAAGCTTTTGGCGTGTCTAGCTGCCACGGCTTAAATCATAGAAGAGCTTTTAGACTAAGATCCGTCAGAGTTTAATAACTTTTTTGCAACTTTTAGGCGACGTCGGAAGCTTGTTAGTAGATCTCGAACATGATGAATCAAGCGTCAGAAGAAGTCTCGCAATGGCCAATACTCTGATTCCCTCATTTAAGAAAGTCCTAGAGAAAACGGATATTGGTGAAAGTTCGTATGGGAAAAAGCTAGGACATGACATAAAGATGGCTAAATCGGTGTTTATGAGTCTTGACGACTGGCACCAACACACGAAAAATTCATTATCATTGAGACAGTCAAAAAACTTGAAAGGTCCACCCCGGCGCTTGAGGTTGGCCTGTCGACAATAAAACTAATATTTTTACTTTACTTTTAAAAATACAAAATAGGAGGGCTTTTAACATTAATAAATGTTATTAATAGATGTAGCTTCGTCAACAGATAATTAAAAACATAGTTAAATAGTTATGTAATATGTTTAATTGTAGTATATAAATATATAGGATTGTTATCTAGTATATAATATATTTATATAAATATACTATTATCAACATATATTATTATCTAGTATATGTATATCTGGTATATAAGTTTTATGTAATATGAATATTTATACATGGTTTGGTTAACAAAGATAAATAGGCAGCATTTATTACTTCTTTATTCTCAAAAAGTAAAATTAAAAGTTATTTTACCTCAATAACCAAAGTAGGCTATAATAAGGGATTAACCGTTCTTAATACTTCATTTTCAAACGGTTAATAGCAACTTGAACATCATCAACAAGCTATAAATGGAAATAATATTATTTTGCTAACTTTCTAAATACTCAGATTCATAGTAACTGTATATAATTAATAAAATAATAATTCTGTTTGCAAAAAAGCGACTGTCTACGTTCTTCCACTGATGATTGTTATTGTTATTGTGATATCAAGAACTACATCCACGTAGAACGCTACAGATTTTGGATACTGATTTTCATTTTTTTTCTTTCTTAGTTATGTTACTTTCTTTCTTTGTGGTTTTAAGAAATTCATTAAATAAGGAAGCAAATGAAATATTAATATGTTTACAATTTCTACAACACAGTTAACCAGATGATTATGTATTTTGTTATTCATGTTCAATACGTTTTCATTGATAGACTGATAAACTATTAAAAGCTTGTAATTAATTCTATACATAGAAAAATAAGTAGATTTTCGATACTCTGTGCACAAAGTGCGTCTTTCCCGCACGCTTGGCAGAAAAAATGCGTTGCTAATCGTACTTTCCACACGTCGTATCAAAAACTACGGTACGGCACATGTTCGGGAAAGAGTTTCTCGTCTCGTGTACCTTTCCACACTCGTTTCGGTCGGGCGTAAACGCCACACGAGACAAGATTCTACTTTCCCGCACTTATATCGTAATGTACTATTCTGCTTGTTGGTATGGAATATATAAACAAAAAACTTAAAACTTATACATAATTAAATGTTTCTTTAAATTTATAATATGGATAATTCTTTTCTTATATATACGCTTCGCACACTAATCATCCGGCCGGATATTCGCATGTTTTCCCACTTATTTCTTAGTTTTTTTTTTTTTACAGAGGACCAAGAGGACCAAAGAAAGGCATATAGCATCTGGACACGTCCGACTCACTCGAGCGCGAGACTATAAATTTCCGAATGATTTTAAGCATCAGCTCCGTGCCGACCGCAGGATCATAAATCAGATTTTAGATTTTCCCCAGAGAAGACAATTAAGAAAACTGAGCGGTGAATGATTATCGTAAAGCGAGAATGCTTTGTTTTATTACTTGTTCACGCTTGAGTTTTAAAAAAATTTTACGCTGTGCATTCTTTTTATAGTAACCATCCTCAACAGTGGTCTTGCTCTAGCCTTATTAATAATTAATTTATTTAGGTTATTGTTAATGTTAGTTTCACTCCCTAACTAATAAAATAAATATTAAAAACATTATAATTTTGTTATTAGCTCTCACATTGTTATAAACTTGAACCTTTTTACCTAATGCTTTCCTTAACTCGTTTGAAGATAGTGATATTTATGATAATAATGGTGAATAGAGTATGTTTACTTGATAGAGGTGCAAGTAAGAAGAGAGGCACAAAGTTAAAATTATAATCTTTGATTCGAAGTCCGAATGATCTTGTTATTTATTTTGTTTTATTTTAAAGGAGGGTTGGATTGACTCTACACTAATAACCAGAATTCTTTAACGTACTATTTTATTAATAAAATAAGGATTATAAATATAATTATAATTGTCAGCCGGCATAAAAAACCCCAGACGTAGGTGAGGGAAAAGCCATTTGGCAATCACAAATATACCAATCCAATTGGTTTGAATAAACAAGGTCAAACAAAGAACAGAAAGATGTTACAATACAGATACATGAACTTAAAAACTACTCCGGTGACTTTCGCATACGTACAATCGGGCAGGAAGGTGTCCCCAGGATAATGAAAAGGCCCTCGGTAGCTCCGACGTCTCAGAAACGGGTCAGCCCTTGCTACCTCGTAGCCGAGAAGAGAATGGGCAAAGCCGCGTGGTTGGAGACACCCCAGAGGACGCGTCTCGTCCTCTCCCAAGGCAGCAGGCTGTCCTGTCCTTGGACCTCGACGGGTCACCGGGTCGGTTGCAGCTTCGCAGAAGCTTGAGGTAGAAGCGGGCACGTAGGCACAACTCACACACTTAAGTTGCACACGAAAATGGACGCAAAACAAGAGCGAAGTGGGCTCTTCTATCCTCTGAAGACAACTGGCTGTCACTCTGTTAGGTCTGCCGCATTGAGAACGCGGAAAACCCCTACTCTCATTAGGGGCTTCAAGCAGAAACCAATGAGGAGCCTTGAAGATGATGCATCTCTCCATCCAGACTTTCATCTAGCCGACATCAACGACGGCTAGTATAGGCCAGTATGACCTCAACGTGTGTAACGTCTGTCATGCGACCGGTGACAAGTGTAGGGACCTTAGGGGTTTTCCCCACACGTGTTCAGCTGTTGGTGGAGAGATGCAGCGTCCTCACTGATGATCGCAGAGATAGCGCACGAACCAAAAATATTGAGCGCACATGTCGCGAACAGAGTAATTTTCTTCTTTTAAAATTCTTTGTCTATAATAAAACGTATTATCCCAATTCGATTTGACATCTTCTCGTGTTTCACAGTACTCAGAAAGCCAGTTAATGTCAAAAGTACTTTGATCTTCAATTAACAATAATTTGATTAAAAAAGGTTATAAGATTATGTAGTATATTGTTAATCAAACTAAATTAATACTAATTATAAAATCAATTATTAAAAACATATGAAAAATATTATGGATAAAACAGTACTAACCAATTAGCAATAATTGCGACAAAATAGCTAAAGATTCTTTTTCTTACTTTTGAGATAATAATCCTATTCGTTTTAATTTTTTCCTTGTGTAACCATAGTGTTTATATAATTTACCAGATGGACTAATTATTTTTTGACACGTCTTGATATAAAGTGATAATAGGTCGCTTTGTTTTCCCAGGAAATAGATCAATAATAGATGGAAATAATTCTTTGAATCTACTTGAAGAAAATCTAAAACAAATAATACTAGTGATGAAGAAATAGCGTCATACTTAATCTTTTATCTTTACTTACAGACAAATTTAAATATATACAAATTTTTCAAAGTAATCAGACTCTTGTCCAATTACAATATACTAGTGAATGGTATCTTTTTCATGATAGTTTATTATTCTAGGTAATAGATTCCTACTGTTTTTAAACAAATTCCATATTTTTTATAAACTGACAGAACAGATTTTCCATGAATACTTTCATTCAATAACTGGAAACAGGCATGGAAAAAATGTATAAATCTTTATTTAAAATATGAATGTAATTTAACTCACAAGTTTTTACGTCCTACAGGCCAAGGTCCCCCGTCTTTAAAAAAAGTTATTTAAAATTATGGTTGCGAAAGATCAATATAAAAAATATTCTTTGATTTCGCAAAAATCTTGTATATATCTTGTGAAATGCTTATATCCAAACTCAGCTTTTCCCTCTAATAATACAACCTTTGGTACTTTCACGTAGAAATTGTAGAGAATAGACATCTGATAGATATTTTTTTGTATTTGTCAATAATTTGAAATAATATAAAATTTCTATAGCGCTATCAATTTTCTAGGTATCCCTATAGCAACTAAATACTGACGCTCCTAACGATTTTCATAATTTTTCGTTGATTTTTCCGCGAGATAGACAAAAGCTAGGAATACAAATTCTAATTATTCAATTTCTTGTGTTTGCCAACACTTCAATTCTATACGTAATGTGAAAATACTTTCTTTTTTATTCTTTTATTCAACAAAAATTATTTTACAATGGGAGAAAATTTGAGCAACTTTGTTGAGGTTTAGTGTAAGATTGAAGTTGTAGGAGATTTTACGTTGTATGAAGACATTTCAATTGGTTAAATGGAGTCATGTGTGAAAAGCTCCTACTCAAACTGTTATATTTCATTCTATAAGTTTTGCCTACACGGTTTCCAAGAACTTTTGAATGCTTCATTGTAGATTTTAAAGACTTTTTCTTGTGCAGCGGTTTGCATTGGTAGCTCTGCGCAACGAAAATAGTACTTTTTAAATTTATCCCGCTGTTATTATAAAAGTTATTGATATATTGAAGTAAAAAATTTAAGTAAAAAATGATAATCATGTTATTATATAATTTCTTATAGTCTTATTCAGTTTTCACTGAGTATATTTGTTTATTTATAAAAACTTATAACCACAAAAGCTATATGTAACTTCGTTTGACAAAAGTCTATTAGGAATTTTCAAATCATTATTACATTCTTTATCAACGTCTCAAGTATGTATATATCAAATGTAAGGTATACCAAATATTCGTTAAAAAAATTATATAAGAGATTTCATGATATGGCTTTGCGCCGCGGCGCCTATTCTTAACGATCTTACTGTTAATAACTCTAAAAAAACAACCGCTACCTATATTTTTTAATATATCAGTCGCTTTCGAATTGAATAAGCTTTATTTTGTGAAAATTTTGCGAAATTCTAGAGAAATTTTCTAAATTGTTTCTCAAACGTAAATAAAAAAATTCACTTCTTATGGATAATACATAGAAATCAATATTTTTTAAGTATTTAAATAAAAAATTATATACAAAGCTTCTATATTAAGGTTATAATTTTTTATAAATAAACAAATATAGTAATTGAATAAGACTATAAGAAACTAAATAATAATAAGGGTATCTTCAAATTTTTTTATTTCAATATATGGATAACTTTTATAATAATAGTGAAATGAATTTAAAAAATGGTCTTTTCTTTGCGCGGAGCCTCCACTGAAAAACACTGAGCAAGAGAACGTACTTAAAGAGCCTTTCAAAAATACTATTGAAATAAACGTATAAATAAAATTTTATATTTATTATAAATTTAAGTTTATGAAATTATTGAGTAATATACAAATATCATTATAATCTATTAACGATAAAAAGGCCTGATTTTTTTGTTGATTTTCGACACGACTTTTTCTGTAATTATAGGCCTTAGAAAAATTTTGCAAACACGTGTTTCGACGTGAAATTATGTCATATTATATTAAATTTTTTCCAAAAATTCTAAAAAATAAGACTATTTTTTTCTCTAAACTCAATAATTTCCAAAAAAAATATGTTATATTTTTTATGATCTCGGATTTGTCCACTATTTTGTTGGAAGAAGTGGTTACAAAATTCCACTAAAATTCCCTGAGATACTTTGATTGTCGAGATAACTCCTAATCATATTTATATCATGACTCCTCCACAGTAATATTGCTAAAAAAATCGCAATTTAGATTTTTTGCAAAAATTTTCACGTTTTTTTGTTAAATTATTATAACTTTTTTATTACGTAATAAATCATAATGTTGAGCTCAGATTCTGAAAGGGCATTAAATTTCACGTTGAAACACGTGTTTGCAAAATTTTTCGAAGGCCTATAACTACGGAAAATATAATGTCGAAAATCATCAAAAAAATCAGGTCTTTTGATCGTTAATGGGTTAAGTATCTTAATATTATGATTAAATGTAAATATTCGCCGTATAAAAAATGATGTATTATAACCTAGCCTCCAGTTCGATAAATATCGCTATGCCGTAAATAAGAAACGCATCTACGTTCGTACAGCTATACCCAGAGCTAGGAATGTGATTTCAAAATTAATCATGGTAGCATTCAATTCAGTAGATATCGCCGTGTCTTAAATGAGCAACACAAGTACAATCGTCCCATAGTTCGAAAACTATAAAGTAGTCGGATCGTATAAAATATTATATTGCTAATTTCAGAATTACCATTCTAATATTAAGAAACTGCGCTAATATTTAATTTAAATAAATGTATTACGATATGTCACGATAATATTACTGTAAAGCAGAATGATAAGTGAGTCATGCAGTACTTTACCTTACATGATCTATATTTTTTGACTTCTTTTAAAATATCTATGCTTTGATGAACCATCAATAGTTTTTTTAGCAATTTTCTGTTTATACTTTGTCTAAAACACCAAGTAGCAAGATATTTGAACTGCAAAATTACAGCATTGTTGTACTATTTGAGGATATGTAATGTAACATTTCAAAGTCCCAACTTTTAAAAATATAACTACTGGTTACTCATGTATCTCTTAAGGCCATAAATCGAATGTGTTTTCATTTTTGTCTTTTATTTTGACTATTTTTTTATTGTCATTATTAGACTTGTCTTCAATCTCGGTAAAATCTAAGATCTTCAATATATCCTTGCTTGAAAGAGATGTTGAAGCGATACCGTTACGTTGGTTGATCTAATTTTTCGTTTAATAAATATCACTATCAAAACGAAAGGTTTCTATATTTATAGATTTGTCGATAAGATTAAAATACCGAGAACATGCACCTATGTAGTAACAATACATACTTGATCACAAAACAGATGATCTCACACACACATACACACACACACACACACACACACACATACACACACACACACACACACATTGAATATAATAGTATAAACTTTGGTCAACCAAAAAAAAGTTTCATAATAAATTTAATACAAACCATAAATTACAATCGCGTTATTCAAGATACTACCTAATTTCTTAAAAGATTCTTTCTCACTTCTAAAGCTATTCATATGTAATACAAGTATTAAAAACATATACTTGCACTTCCTTTAGATGTCGAAACTAATGAGATAATAGCTCACGATAGCGGTAGCGTGCTTCATAGAGTTGATTAAAGAACTGATTGATGTGATTCAACCACGAAAAAAATGTAAGGAAACAATGGTGCGTCAGTACCCGAAAAATTACGGGATAGCACTGAAAAACTATCGGAAATCTTTACAATTTGTAAGAGATTTTGAAGAACATATAAATTATGATTCATTACCGTAAAATTTACGTGACACCTTAAGAATTACCATGATTTTCCACAAAAATTAATTGCACGATAATCACGTTTCGATTTTACATACTTATATTAATATAAGAATAATTTCTCGTTCTTTTTTATTGTAATCTTAATAAGACCTTAACCTTATTTTTTATAACACTCTGAAGACGACGAGAAAAAGAACTTCACCACTTCCGCGGGCCGAACGACACTTGGTCGAATGGCATTTACCTGAGCTACCTCGGGACAAATTTCGTCGTATTATAGTGCGGCAATATCTCTTAGCAAGAGTAGTTTACGGGAGTTAGAAAAAAGGCCAATTAGCGTTATAACAAACTTGTCACTATTCCCCGTATCCCTTCAATAGCAGCTTAAAAAAGGAAATAATTAATTATATTGTAACGTATCCCTTTCTTTAATGATGAATAGCGGTAAAGTCGCTTAAATTTCCTTCAATATATCAATATTTTGCGAAGCACTGCGATTTTCCAGACTGAATTACTCTCAATCTCCACAAAAAAAACAAACAAACTAAAACTAGATCAGTTAACCTCAATTATCGATTATCTCAACGTTTTGCTCTTGGATAACAAGCCAGAAAAGTCAAAGATTAGTGTACCAGTCAGGGCATAAAAAAGACTACATATATTCTTTCTTCCTCTCGCTCACACAAATGTAGCCAGAAGAAAAGAGCGGGCGACGAACGTTAAAAGTCGAATGGCAGTTGTGCACACAAGGCGCTCGACTGTGAATAAGTTGCGAGGCTTGCGCCCCGTTCCCGGAAAAGTTCAATTTTTCCAAGTACATACTTGGTACAATTTCACGGGTATCGCGTGCCAAGAATTCAACTTAACAACAATCATTATACGAGCTGAGTGAAGAACAGTCCTGCAGAGTCGAGTCTGAATAATAATTGCAAAATATTGCCATTGATTTTATGAATTTCATTATTAATTAAAAGAAGATATTGGATTTATTTATCCCAACGTTGCAGCAGCAATAATTTAATTACGATGAATGCAATACTATACTATTAGCATGGAAGAATTGTAGAAAAGATCTTGATGAAATACGCATTTCGAGGTCTTCTCTATACAAATCAAAAGAGTTATAAAAGAAACGATATACTATTTCACGTTTAGGAGTTAATTGAATCGAGAAAGTTATGAAATAAATCCTCATATAAAAAAAGGATTTTTATGATATTCTTTCATAAACTGTCTCCAAGGATCTGAAGTTCTACCATTGCTTTACGAGTCGTGATTACGGAGACACCGTGCTAGTGGCGTGAACTCGCCAACAAAGAGTGAGAGAGGGAGAGAGAGAGAGAGATGACGACACCGAGAAGCTCCATTGCCACTTCGAAGAAGCAGCGGCTGCCACTTGCACTTTAATACCTGCCCATCCGTTCTCTCTGAGCCTCCGCATCGTCGTCTCAACGGCCTTCGCCCGCACCCCCAAGTCGTTTTCCTCAGCTCAGAAGATTGAATTAAACTTTTACACCACGTTGAAAATCTCCTTAATTTCGAGACCGTATTTCCTCAAGAATTGGACGATTAATCTTTTATTCCAAGCCATTACCGCATGAAGTATACCAAATCGTGGATTAAAACTGACATTGGTAATTGAGACTATGGTCATCGATGTAGATAGTTTTTTTTTATTTGCTCAAAGAATTATATGAATTTAGACAGGTAACCAATAACATTTGTAATTTTTATCTGGTCCTTCAATGCTTAATGACTACAAATATTTTTCAATTTAATTGCTTGATAAATATGTTCAGCAAGTATTAGAGCATTTAGTTTAGAATAATATTTTAAAAAGATTTTTGTAAATATCGATTTGTGCAGTAGCAATCTTTCATTTAACGCAGAAAAAATAAATATGGAAAAACTCAAGCCTACTTAATTTGAAATGAAAATTAAAACAAATTGAATACTATAGAGTTAGAAAATAGGAAGTAGAACGGAAGAAAAAAATAAAAAATTGAAATCGCGAAAGCGTTTAAACATCTGTGAAATCGAAGAGGGCAACTTAAGGAAAAAGGGTAAGCGAGTAAAAAAATCTATAGAGGAAGGAGGTGAGCTCGAGAGAAAAAATATTCAAAAAAATAAAAGATCAAGTCCGCGTGCAACTTCATTAAGTCAGTAATAGTTAAGCTAGCTTTTAATAAGACTGAAGTAAAATGGTACTCAGACTATTCAAATCACAGAATTTTACAGATATTTTAATCGTTACATTCCATCTACCAAGTACCAATATTAAAGTGACAAAACTGATAATATTTACATGCTTCTTTCGAGGTTAAATTAATTAATTACCTTTAGTATAATTCAGATGTGAGAGTCGAGTTTGAGGTACAAAACGAACTTTACATGACCATTGGTAAACTCATATCATAAATCGTTTACCTAAAGTTTTACAACCTTTCTGAAGTTCTGAATAGCATTCTAGAGAATAGTATTTTAATATAAATTTTACTTACTGCAAACTATTGAATTCTAATTATTGGTCTACAAGCTCTGTACTCAATGTAATATAATATAACAAATACTTGATTTTAGTTTAATAAAAAATGTTTACTTTAGTATTGCTCAAAACATTAGTACCGTTACTGTCGAATTCAATCGTTGAATATAATAAAAAATATAGTGAATGAAAAGATTCGATCAATTAAATAGAAGTAAGTTGTCGAGTTAGTGTAACAAAAGGATACCTTCAACAAGACGACTGAAATAGCTAAATATAGAATTGAAAACCATATCTAAATCTCTAAAAATCTCTCACCTGAAAACGCTCTATTCTTTTCGATTCAGTATATAACCGTTATTTAAGTAGATGACTTTTTTTAAGTAATTTCATTGTAGGTATTAATTTATTAACCCGGCCAAATTCAAGCAGTATTAATTGTATGAGCAATAAAGTTGTAATTCATAAACACTTAGAAGGTAGTTTAGTTATGGAAGTAGCGTAATGGTAGCCGCTTATCGCGAGCACGTGTAGGTGTAGACACATATATCGCGCACTCCCTATATGTAAGTACACAAGTACCGTCGCGTATTGAGCCAATAGGTAGTTCCTGGCTTCAACGAATTTGGTCGTACTCTCTATGTGTGTACATGTGTATGTGCGTGTCTGCATATTCTGGACCGGTGCTTTTCGATCGACTCTCGCAGTTGCCTAACGATGCTTTCTCGTGTATGCAAACACGTCATTGGGCGACCGCGACAATCTATTTACTGTCTTCCATCGTCCAGGCAACGTTTGACCGCGCATTAGAGCTGTGATTACTTGGAGATTTAGCGAGAGAGAGAGAGGCTAAGAGGACCGAGGGAGGACGTGCGCGTGCCTTTATAAACCCTCTAGTGTACTCTACGCGTACGTGATTAGAAATGTCGATAGTAATGGGCGCATTGCAGATGCGAAACCGAAGCAAACCAAAACAAGGCGTAGCTCGCTTTCTCCTTTCCTTCTCTGTATATATCTCTCATTCTGAGATATTCATTCACGTTGCATCGTGATTCTGTTTTTCTGAGAATTTAATTCTAGAGTAATGAATATCTGTAGTTTTCAATGTATAGCAATAATATTAAACAGCAATTTAATAAGAAATTACGTACCCAATCTCGGAAAATATTAATAAGTCCATAGCCCGTGAGAATTAACAACTGAAGAGAAGCTAAGGTACACGATTAGAAATTCGTGAAAAAGAACTGTGTCTAGGTACGTAATTTATTGTCAATTTTCGGATATTCTTTCCAGCTTTTAAACATATACATCATTTGCATTTGTTTTCGAAACAAAGCACCGAAAATTTCAATGTAATGTATGAGCACGTGCGTGTTTTCAATAGTTTTTTCCGGATTTGAACACGGTTAACAGTCATTTGAGGGATGTTTAATACTTTTTCCCCTTCAGAATTGTAAGCAAAAGTCTATGACCCGTTTAATCTTGAGGTATAAACATGATTGGAATAGTTTTTATCCTTATATAAGAGCTATTACTGTATCATACCGTAATAAAAGGTAGGTAAAGTAGGGTCCAGCATTTTCCCACTTAAAATGTGTACGAAGGTCAAGAAGAATTAGATCATAGGATTATTTGATCCTTTAAATATTAAGAAATATAAATAAGATAGAAATGTTCCAAACGCCTTAGAAATGATAGTTATTTATTAAAAAATTTCTAGAAATATTGGAAACAACATTCACACACACAAACACACACACACGCGCGCGCGCGCATATGCGTATGTGAAAAAGTTGGCAACAGAAACTCACCAACAACAGTAAGATACACCGGGTGACCAATTGGCGGGGTCGTAGATATCTGACACTCGTAGATTCCACTGTCCTTACGTTGAGGGTATCTTATTCTAAGGGTCCATTCCTCGCTGTGCGGTGCGTGAAGTGCCTCAAAGCGCTGATCGCTCGTATACGTATACCGGCCGACAGTTAGTAAATGAATGTCACGATGTCTCACCCATGATACCTAGAAACAACAAAGAAGCTCATTTTTCCGAGTGTCGATATATTTACTTCTTTTTTTGAAGAAGTATGGTGATTGAGCGTCGGATAGAGTTACTCTTATGGTAGCTCTTTATTAAAGATCAGCTGCTATTTCGTAACCTCACTAAGTATCTGATAATAATGAGATATCTTCTAGAAAACTACTTTCCTTTATCAATACCTGCCACTGTGCCGATATAATTGTCATTTATATTCATCTTGATGTCAGGGAAGTACTGTCATTATATTTTTCAGGAATAATTGAAACTACAGAATATTATTTATATAATTAGCAATCTTTTATTCAATTACTCGAATTTGTATGAATATCATAATATAAGAATACAATAAAACATTTTTATTGATATTTTACTATTGCATGCCGATAGTGGCTTCGTTATAACAATATACGTATATTTCAACTAAGTTATTTATATTAATTATGCTTTCAATGATTTAGTATTAATTTGATCAATATAATTTGTAATTTGCTGTTTATCATTTAGTGAATCTAAATAGAAAATGTTTATGTTAGTTTAGCGAGTTTAAAAAAAGCATATAAAATGCATGATATATAGTAATATAGAATCAACTTCATAATATTCAAGTAAATTGTAATATAAAACCAGTCAAATGTAAAAAATATTCTCGATAATTAGACTATTACTGATCTCTATCACTGATTATCACTTAAAATTAAAAACATAATTTACTATTTAATTCAAAACAATTAAATTTTTTGTAAACTTTGGGATAAGCATTAGCGTGTACAATTAAAAACGAAAAATGGAATTTTCTAAGAAAAGTAACAATAACTTTATATTTAAATCTTTCTGTTTTTCAAATTATTTTTCATTCGAATAAAATCATCAATAACAACTTTCATTTTTTTCTTTACGAATCATTTGAATTTTTTAAACACGAGTTTTTAAATTGGTTCTCAGACTACTTTTATAGCTATTAGTATGTCCTTTAAATTTAAAAAACGTTTAAAATTTATTTCTTTTACAGCGTTAAAAAATTGCAAGTAAAGATGATCGTTAAAATGTATCACCCTCTAATAATGCTTATTTTCTTGAATGAAATTTTGTTTTTAAGTTTTAATAGTGTACGTTATTATATACATATGCTTTGAAATAAGCTGTTATTTGCAGATTTCTTAATTATATTTTTATACGCTTATGAACTAACAACTACACTTAACAATAACTGTTAAAACATCCAATATTACTTTTAAAATTACTGTATTTCAGCACTTATTATTTGAAATGGCTAAAAAATGATTTGTCTGAATAATTATGAACAACACATGTACTGTGATATACACATATCATCATCTCCTTTGTTTGGTTTAGATATAAAGTAAAGTTTTCTCAAGTACCTTTTTTTAAACCCTTTTTTTATAAAAGCAAAACCGCATGACGAACTAAAATATCACTAGCATTATGGATTTTGATAAGAGAAAAAATAAAAAAAATTTTATTATCTAAACGAATATAGTACACGATACACATTGTTACAATTAATACACGTTTAAAATGTAATTGATTACAGTTTTGATTTACATTTGTGTTGATTCAGTTTTATTATATATTAAATTCAAATTATTAATTCGGTCGGTAGGGCGACGGACTCGAACCCGGTAGGCCCGGGTTCGATTCCCAGTTCCTGCTGATTGATACAAGCACCACTGAAAAAAGTTTCATGTGCTTTGTTCTCAAACACATTGCAAGCCTCCGTCGCTGATTAGCACTGATGGAGCATAAATAAAGCGACGTTAAATAAAAAAAAAATCAAATTATTAATATAAGTATATTATTAATGTAAATTTTTGTTACTACTTTTATTACGAATAATAAACATTGATTTTAAATTAAAATTTTTTTAACGGAATAAACGAATTACTATTTAATTCGTGATAGGTAAACAAAAAAATCTACGTAAATATCACATCCACTGCTTTTTGAAATGACTTTTTAATCGTAATCATGGCTTGAAAAAGCATCGATTTGTAACAAGTTGAGTTAATTATTCTATTGGTGAAGATCTAGAAGTTTAAATCAATTGCAATAATGATACAAATGATATAAGCCTACCTAAAGATTAATGTTTCGTGGGCTTAAGGTTTTCCTGAATAAAGTTTTTTTCAACTGTTTAGATGTATTCTTCGTAAATATTAAACAAAAATTGAGTTTTACTGAAACGTTTTGATTGGTTTGTTAAAACTTTGAAAAGTGGAAATAGATACAAGCATTTTGAAATAGTTCTGTAACTAGAATTAACAATATAATAAACTTTGAAATGATCGATAATTTCTACAAAAATAGTTAATCAATAAATGCAATATCAAATAAAAATAGTAAATATTTGTTATGTGTAAAGACGAGTATTGACATTTGCTAAAATTATAGCTTGCAAATCTCTTTATAATCCAACTAATTTTCGAAATGCCAAAAAAAATTATCATTTGAAAATTATCATTCGAACTGCTCATAAAGTGTTGGATAGTCAATCGTAGGAAAGCGTAGAGAGAACAAACTCACGTAAAAACGCGAAAGCGCTCTTTGAATTCTTTCAAATTGCTGGAAGCGAAAGAGAGACCATTAAATCTGTAGCAGGACTATCAATGTGCCCGTGATGATGAGTCGGTAGCCGCGCCCAAAAAAGGAATAGTCACCCAGCACTCTTGTACTTGCCGCGGCTATCATCGAGCTCACGCCCCGTCGCTCACACGATTGAGCTATAAAACTTTACGCGAGCGCCTTTCTCTTTTACCTCGTTCTCTCTCTCTCTCTCTTTCTCTCTCTCTCTCTCTTCTACCTTTGCCTCTTTCTTTCTCTCTCACCCTCTCTGTATCTTATCCCAAGTTTACGAGCAAGTCGTGGATCTATCGTAGTCGGATTACTCTTCGCGTGCACGCCGTCTCACAGGTATTACGCCGACATACATGCAAGCTTTTTCTTTCATGTGTAGATCTCTTCTACTTTAGAAACGTACGCCTTTTTAAGTTAGATTTCGAAAGAAGTTTTAAATTACATTCTGCGCTACATTTTTACGAAAAAATCTGTTTGGTGACAGTTATTAAATCATGATCAGAACATGTTACTATCAAAGCATTGTGCGTGTATGTACGTGTAACTTTAGACTATATATTACGTTTGCATTGATTGAAGTAAAGTTTATAAACGAAATAACGAAATTACAGTGTTATATGTGCATTATAAAAAGGGCAATGCCACTTTTATAAATTTTTTCATGTTTATCTTGAAAATATTGACGTTTCTAATTCTATCTATTTCAAATCTTATCATACAATAAGCTTTATGATATACGTACTACAAGACTTACGGTTAGTCGGTAGTTTATCCATAACTTAAATTAAGTCCGTTTTACTTCGTGAGGTAGGTAGATGCGATGCAAAAATGAATTACTGAGAGATAGGCATTGCATAAGAGTATCGATGTAAGCTACGCAATACCATAAATTTTTTATCGAGAAGCTGTTATGCTTTGTTAACATTTTCTGATTTTTTTCTGTTACTCTAGCATTTGGATTAAGGGACATCCGAGCAAAGCAGAGTACCTATAAAAGTTTATTAGCGACAACATCGTTCGGACACATCCAATTAAATTCTGATGACAGATGCTAATTCTTCTTGGAAAATCCTATCTAAATATGTTTTATCCGAAACTTTTTTATGTCAAAAACTCATTCTCAGAGCTCTCAATCGTAAGAATACAGCTTTTGGATTAAAAAAAAGCAGGCTAAAGTAGGGTACCTACGAAAATTGGCAATAACTTCCTTCAGACGCATGCAAACCAAATTCTGACGTAAAATTCTTGTTCCTCTTAAAAAATCTATTGATTTAAAAAAATTTTAAATCGTTTTAGAGCTATAACTCTCTCTGATTGCATACGCTAACACTAACTTACAGATAAGTATATCTCGTAGTTTGATGATGTGATTATTCCCCAGCCATAGTTCAAAACCAAACTTAAAACCACAGCCAATATACATTAATTAATGTATCTAACTCACTTGAAACGAGCTTGAAATAATATTCATGAAAAGGGGTTTACCCCGCTTTGTCCAAAAGTGAGATTTGCAATGTTTTGATATAGTTTTGATATTGAGTAGAGTTCATAGAAATGAAAATCTAATAAGTGTTTTAATAAGCTGGAAAGACGTACTAATAATGGTGTTATTCTGATTTTCTGATTGAATACTTTTCCATTTTTCAACCTTTCAGACTAATAAAAATATGATCAGCTACGTGAAAAATGTAGTTCTAGCTGATTAATAAATCGCTTTATGGCATAAAATCTCGAAAATACTTGAGACAACATTTTGCGCGCGAAGAGTAGCCGCTTCATTAAACTCACCTTAAGTGGTTGTAAAATCAAGTGCCGCGGATAATCGGAAGGCCATTAAATCCATTTCATTCACGGACGGTACGATGGGTGGCGCGAGGAAGGCATTAGTAGAGGACAACCATAGGCGACTGTAGGCGTAAACGCGCTGATATGGAAATGAGCGGAAACACTTCATACAGGCCACTGGCCGAGGAAAGAAATTTCGTATACGAGATGAGTCTTGCACAGAGAGAGAATGGCCTGGGCTCTCTGTCTCCCTACTCGTCTAAGGATACCAACCTCTCTCCTACTCTTGCGCAATTGGCCGCGCCACGCCCGTGGTCTCGGTAAAATGTTAAATTGGCCACAAAGATTTGCCTTTAGTTAGTTTTTCTTTCTTTATTGCCGTCTTTATGGATTTCATTTGCATTTTAATTATGAAACTTGCGTATTATTGTTTACTTGGATTTAGGCAGCATTATTTAGGTTTTAGTTAACGTTTAAATATATATTTCGAATAACACGACACCAGCCAATAAATTTGCCTCTTATCCCCCCGCTCGTCCCTTCATTAATTTCAAAAGCTAGTTGCTAGACAAATATAGGTCTTTCTTTTTCATCCCAGCCACTGTAGCCTATTTTGAAGTTTTGTACATAATACGTAATTGCATTTTCACTATACCTTTGTATTATGCCAGGAGATTGGAATGCTTGTTGCAAATGAGTGTGAGTTTCCGTCAACATTCTATTTTGCGTGACTAACTTAAGTTACTTTGGGGTGTTCAATAAAGTTAAACTAATTAACAAGATTATAATTATCACTATTAATAGACCCTCAAAATGGAATTGTTAATAAAATACAGGAAAAATCAGACAGTACACTAGATCTAAAATTAGTTAACACATTAGTTAATCTAAATTTAGTTAACTAAGATGAAAATGTCGTTTAACATTACACGATAAATTTAATATACTTGATTTTACTTGTAATCTTTGTATTTATTGGCTTATTTATTCGTTTGTTCATTGCTACTCTTACTTCAATGGAGTTGAAGTAAATTTTGAATACTATTGCATGACTGTACTCTCACAGAAATTCTTAACTTATTTAAGTGCCGAGAGGTTCAACATTTTTCCACCTTACCACGAAATCAAGTTACGAGTTCTGGGCCGTACCTTACTCGTAAAATGTGATCACAGTGTATTAAACGGAAATGTCACCGTTAGTGCGCATGCTAATACGCGCAGCAAGATTAAAAAATTTTCCACGGTAGATTGAACAGAGTTCACTACTTTGCAGCTCAGCACAAAGACCTTTGTATATTATTAAAGCTTTTATTCATCAGCCTTAGTTTTTCTACCTTTAGTACTTCTGACAAAGTGTAGACAAAGTGCAACACCGAGCTTTATATTTTTTCATTGAGTTTAGGTTGGGTTATGTATCAACGCCTGCTTCTTAGAATAAATCTAATTACATCAAGCTCTGATCCTTTTGTATTCATGAAAAAGTTATGATTTTTATTTTCGGCTGGTTTCTTTTATATGATCATTCTTTCAAAATTGACTAATTCTAAAACAGTTTAATACAAAAAAAATCAAAGTAACTTTAATTTTTTTTCTTCAATATCTTTAAAAATTATATGAGTAAACGAAATTATCTGTGAGATTCTCGTGAAGTACTATTACGAGCGCTACTTTCATCATGATCAGAAGGTGTAGTCAGGTCAAATCGATCTGTAGTTGAGAGAACTACATCTCTGATAGATCATTGAGAAAAAGACGCATAATATAACAATACTTTGGCTGGATTCGATTTTATCAATCATGTTCTATAAAGTTACATAAGATAAATATAATATCTATGAATATACGTAATATGCAAATAAAATTGCTTATTTGTTAGCATAAATCTCTAATATATCAAATGTCTTTGAACTATGAAACAGGCTAGTTATTTTATATATCTTAAGATTTATATATCAGCAATAAATTCATTTTATGAATTTATTACTTTTATTGTATTATTGCTTATTGTGTGTGTATATATATATATATATATATATATATATATAACATATAATATAACCTTTTATGTTCTTAAAACAATTTATATATATATATATATATATATTGTTTTAAGAACATAAAAGGTTATATTTTTAAATTATCAGTACAAATCAATAATTTTCTAACTGTCTAACTGTCTGTCATATTGAAATGAATATTAAAATTTGGTTAGAAGAAAGAGAAACTAAATAAATTAAAATTTATTTTTTATTTTTGTACATTGTAAATTGAAAGGTATGCCAACATTGGAAACTAATTATTAGATTATGAAACCCGTTAAAATTGAAGAATGTTCACCGGTGTTTTCAACAAAGCAAAAAAATAGAACCGTAACCATTAGAATTGAGTATATAAGATTTAGTATTACATAATAGTTTACTTTGAACGGTCGAGCTAAATATAGAAAAAGAAATCGACTATAAGCCTCAATGCTAAGAATCCATGAAACTTTCAACTAAAGGTAAGATGTACGATCGAGTGAGGAAATAGTTATACAGTGATAAGTAAACATTGAATTTATTTATTGGACCAAAGGAAAAAAAAACTAAGATGACATAAAAAACTCGAGTCGTGAGTGAGGAAAAAGCCATTTAAGTGCGATGCTTACAAAAAGATACACGCTTACAACTAAATATATCATTATAAACAAACGAATATTACGCCCCTAATTACAGAGGGGAGCGCAAACTCGATTAGCCTGGTCCTTCGCTGGCTACAAATGGACGAGCGCCGACTCGCTTAGCCTGGTCCTTTGCGTCAAGGTAATCGAATGGGCATTTACTCACCGGATACCGCTAACCTCGCAACGCCGCTTGCGCACTCTGCGGAAAAAGAAAGGCGTCTCCTAGAGTAACGCAATTCCAACCGCCTGATCGTCATACACCTCGAGCGAAATTGCCAGGTTCTTCACTTATTTCCACAACCTGCAGCTCTTGGCTTTGGATTTGGGGGACGAATCAGGAACATGGAAACGGATGCAATGCGCAAATGCACCGTTGCACGTTGATGATTAAAGATACGTATTAGATTTTCCCCAGGACAAGCGCGCAATAAAAGACACGTGTTGGGGTTCCCCAAAACGGATGTTTTAGGTAGATAGGCGTTTCGTTAATACCGGATCGTTAATACCATAGTTAGAGACCTTGTAAATATAGCTAGACAAATTGAAAATACAGCTTTGCAAAGGCGAATAAGTGAGTAAACTGTAAGAAATCATTCACATGAGATAGGTTTAAGAACTCGAGTTTTTGCTCGTGTGCCAATACTCAATAATGTACATAGGCGAAATCGATTGTAATACGCAAGAGATCACATAAACTAGACAATACGTAAACATAAACTCAATAGATGAATTGCGGATTTGTCTATTCAGCAATGATAATCGGACTCGAATTTGGCATCGTAGAGGTCATAGGAATGACAGAGCGTGTGTTGTTCCAGTGAGAGCATATCAAGGTGGATCAGTAATGGTCTGGGGTGGAATTTCCATTCATCATCATACGGGATTAGTAGTTCTGTTACCGCTGAGTGTGACAACAGTACGCTATATAAACGATGTCCTTAGACCGCAAGTCATACTTCTACGTCGCCGTATTTTGTATTAATACGGTCCAAATTTGGTATAAATGCATGACAATGCATGACCTCACACTACTGCTGTAATGTAAACATTTTGGAGAAGCATCAAAATCTTAGGTCTTAGCTATTCTCCACAGAGTCCAAATTTGAATCTAGTCGAACACGCGTGGGAAATGATGGGATGGAAATAAAGAAACTTGCTAAGACAACCGATCACATTACAGGATCTATCTGAAACTCTTATGCATATATGGAATGATATTCAACAAGTAGAAATAAGCGTCTGTATTTCAATGTAGAATCGATTGCGTGACATTATTCAACAAAGTAGAGGCAACGTGTGATTAAAAAACACACATTTACCAATATTTGCAAGACTGCATGCACATTTACAGACACATATTCTAACATGAGTGTCAGAAGGGGTTGGAAATTATAAAATACTACAAAATTTACGAAATGTAGTGTCCTTATCTCTAATACTATTATACTAAAATACATACGTAAATACATACACACATAATTATAAGAAAAGGTGAACTGTCAACCAACTATTTTATAATAATTATCGGGTAAAACTAAAATCATCGGTAAGAATAAGCCCCGTATAGTTTATATTCAAATACTCTTTTTAACCCCTACAAAAGTATTATTTCAAAAGCATTTTAAAACATTGTAAAATTGGTTAAAAACACCATACCTAGGAATTTTTTTTTTAATAAAAGTAAAGAGTTTTACTTTAAAATACCATTTTTAGAATTGTTCAAAAAAATTACCCACGCACAAGCGTATTGCATAATTTTGCAAATTTTTATTTCTAAAACATGATCTTAAATTTCAAGATCACGTAACTTAGGATTATATTTAATCGAAAAATGGTTAAATAGATCTTAAATTAAAAACTTCAAGCTTTAATTAAAAAAATATATCGTCTCTCTGCGATATTTTGAAGCTGAATAATAGTCGACGATAAATTTTCTATGCTATACTTTTTTTGAATAGTGTATAATAACTTAGTAAATTTCATCAATCATAGATTTAAATAATCTTTTAAATGATTTTTCAGATATATTTTGTGTTTACGTGGAAAAATGGGTGCAAATTCTATTCTTATTCATCAATGAATATCGATGGATGTGGTGTATTTTAAATAGTATGCATGTATTGCATGTTATTTATGCATGTATTTTATTCGAATCTCAAAATTGTCATGTAAAAAGTTCAAATAATGTTATGGATAACAGAAAAAACAGTAAAGAGCTCGCAAAACGCGCTTTATGACATTAGTGCTATAAAAAAATCAATGTACATTATTTCGGTAGTTAAGCTTCATTTTTACAGGCTACTTTATTATATCACTGTAAATACGACGGAAGGAGAAAATTTTTAATACAAATCTTTATGTTCATGATGGTAACACTCCTGAATATCCAGCACTTCCTTTCACAATCACTTTGCATAATTAGCAACTACTTTTATGCGATACAGAATTGATGCCTTTTTATTTTTTATTTTTGTGTTTTTTGTCAATTGTTTCAAATAACAAAATATTAATTAAATGTGTCTACATTTTTACATATAAAATTTAAGAATTTTGTACAAAGAAAACGGAAAACTTAAAAAGAGTAATTTTTCTGGGCGTCCAATTCAAGGTTACAACTCACCGTTCGATTGCCAAGATTTTTGACCCGACAAATAAGATGTGCCGTTTTGCCAACGAGGCCAGTCACGTTAACAGGTGCAGTTCTATCGAAGTGTGGTCCCGATTCGGCCGTTGGCCATTCTTGTAGATAATCTGTTCTAAACTGACGATGAGTTTCTGCCATTCCTTCTGAAATATCAATATTGATGCTATAATTAAGGTTACGTTATCTTATAATTATAAACTTGATTTTACATTGTTTTACTTTCTATAATTTTGGATTTTATTTTGCAATATTGTAATTATTTGATTGATCAATAATTTCAAGTTTTATCGCAGATAAATTTGAAAATTACATAATCTACATTATCATCTATCAATGGCTAAAGATTTTATAACGGTAGTCAAATTAAATTGAATGCCTTCAATTAGAAATGCAAATGAGCGATGAAACGTTCGACTTCAGCACAAGCAGAATCTGCACATGTTTGGAAACAACATGATAATGTAGGAGCTAAACATTCAAGGATTACGTAAGAGCAAAGAGCTTGTTTGCAAGTGCATTCAGGTATTTTCGTACGTGCCGTAAAGTCTACTCTTGAGTTCTCAAGCCTTGACTATTACGTGAGGATAAATATTGACGTTCAACGTACGGTACACGAGAGATCAAAAGGCTCAGATTCGTTCCATGATTCGCTGCTCATCACTTGACTTTAATCGAATGTTCAATTTAAAATTTTTCGATTAGTTACGTTGAAAGCTTCTTCATACACGTTTTACTTTAGAATAAAGATTATAATATCGAGAAAGTAATGTAGATTGCTATATCAATGAATGTAACAAAAGTACTATAAATGAATTTTGGATTATTTCGTGTGACAGTCACTTCAAACAGGTTCTTTGAAAAATAAACGTTCAAACGTACTGTTAAATTATCATTTTTTAATTATTTATCGCCTTATTCACCTTGCAGACACAAGCTAATTATTAAAAAGTGTTTAAAAAAAAACTAGATTACTGAATATGCCGACGTAATTGATTGAATGTGTTATGTATATGATGTTGATTTATCGATTTACATCGTGTTCTCGGTAATAAGAAATACGTATATTTAAAACTATACCGTGGAAAAAATGTTAGTCATTTAAACATCTATATATTAGTATGGGCGGACCTTTAATATTTCAATCTTATTCCTCATTCTTTAATTATCGCCTAATTTGAATGATTTAGAGCTTATATTAGTAAATATTTAGAATATTGGACTATGTATATTTTTGTGCACAAAATATTTATAGTCAAGAATTCTTTTCCCAAAAACTACAACAATATAAAACTAAAAGAGTACAATATCGATCTTTGGTACTATACTATAATTTATTTTAAATGTGTCACAGTAGTTCCTTCAGGCTAATTACCAATATTTATTCCAAAAAGAATTATTTACGATCCAAATTGTATAAAATTGATACCATAAAGATAAAAATATACAACAGCGTAGGACAATAAAAAAAAATCATAAAGCCAGATGTTTTAACAAAGAATGATGGGGCTAAGTTAGAAGAGGTATATTGCTGAGTTTTGCGTGCAAGTATGTAAGCTACCTATACACGTGTGCGGAACTACTTACGCGGAAACATCGTGTGTACGTGTTCATATGTGTGTATGCCCTACAAGGATAAATCTGCACTGCGGCAAATACGTACACAATACCTACTTTCCGTAGCGTTACGTATTTCAAATTCTCTTGCAGAGTTCTCTGACATGTGCATATGCACTGAACTATGGATATGGAAGAGGGTGAAAAAAGAATTCGAAATACGTCGACTTGACCGTGTATATGAACCGTGCATGAAACCGAGGCGTAACGCAAACTTTACCCAGAAAATATTTTCGCGGCTTACATTAGTACTCGCGTACTGTTTTTTTTTCAAAAATCTTCCATGACAAAATGATTCGATAAGTCAACTATATAAGTTTGGAGAATAATGTAATCTCCGTACGTGCAAGTTTATTATAGGTATAAGCCCCGTATGCGGCCATATATCGTCATACAATAAATTAATAGCAAACGTAATACCTACATCTACATAGCAAATGAAATCGAGATATAATACAAAAATAATACTTTAAGTTGTATCTTTGCATAAAAATACAAATCGAGGTTTTCTGTTATAATGTGCAATCAAGTAGATTTGTATAATCAAACGTAATCAGTTATCGCTGTAAAACATGTGCATCTTATAAATGAAGAGAGATGTATCCTCAGAAACAGACTCACGTTTAAAGTGTGTTTAAATACTGCGCTCATAAAGCTGTCTGCGAAGGATTTAATTCTGGTGGCAAATGAAAGATAGAGAAAGAGATAGGTGAGTGTGAGCAAGGAATGTACGAAGAGAAAGATGGTATCAATCGCAAGCACGTTTTCCAGCATGCGAACGTGCTCAGAGAAGGCGGAAACAGTCCGAATATATAATTAAGCCGATAGAATAATGATTCAATTACGAACGACTTGCGAGAGAGATATGCGCGAATACATAGTAGGTGTGAAACCGCTACACAAGAGCCTGACCCAGCACGTGAAGCAATAAAACGTCTCGAAGGGATGCGCGTTTACATTGAGCAGATAAGGCGCATACTCTCTACCATCCATTTGTATGCGCATGGAGGGGTGGGGCAGAGAGTACGCCCTACGTTAGCGTTCTTAAGACATGTATATCTATATACCTAGGCATGCACTGGTGTAAAGCGGAGATTCAAATTTGGATCTGCATTAAAATCAGCCGGTTGTTTCGGGCACGAGCTACTATTCCATTCTCGCGCTGTTTACTTTGAGACTTGTAGCCCGAGTCTATTAGCCCTCGAATGCCAAATTTGATTCTTGTTTAACTTGCTGGAAAAGAGGATGACATGGAGCCAAATGAAAGTTCCATGTTGATCGGCGTATATGCACGAGCGCGAGCCGCGAGAGCACCTTGGAAACAGGTCATTCCCAAATATCTGCCCGCTTTCTGTTTATATATCATACAATTGCTTGGAGTGCCTTTCGTGAATTCTCGGTGTAGTTTATTCAACGCTTGCCGTTTGGTACACGATACGAACAAGTTTGATGCCGACAGCAGACCTCCGGCTGGTGCAGTCACTGAAAACTTGTATGTGTTGTTTATCTAATTATATTTCAACTCTGCGAACTGATGTTAAAAGGCATCGATAATTCACATATTGGACGATAATTTATTCACAATGAAAATTGTGAATAAATTATTAAAACACTGCGTTATTTTACATACTTTTAATTATTCATTTTTCTTCTATTTAGTCAACGTAATACAAGAGCAAGAGAACTATTTTTAGCTAAGATTTATATTATAATGAAACAATTATCCTGAATGCAATGCGATCTTGGTTTGATAAATATCTAAGTTTTATAGGACAGCTCTACGTCTGTCTTTCATGCACAACCTGATTAAATGGGCATCTGGATAAGTTTCATGATTTACAGTGTGATTCTATCGAAGGCGATATGCGAGGGCGAGAGCGAGAAAGAGAAAGAGAGAGAGAGAGAGAGAGAGAGTATCGGCAGTTTGCGTTAAGGGTAATCTCCCTCGGACATCGGCTGGCCTCGATTACGGAAGTTCTCTACTATTCTGCTATTCTGCTGTGGAGGGCGGAATTTTTATATATAAAGTTGCTGACCCTTTTATATACCACCGACAAAAATCCTAAGAAAAGTGAAAAAAAGTGAAACTAGTTTTTTACAAAAGTAGAATATTCCACGCGGTGGCAGAGAGCAGTGTTTTATGATCTAGAAATTTGGAATGTGAATTTTGGATAATTTGATTTATTATCTCGATTGTCAAACTTCATACATTTCTCTTGCTTACGCGTACATATACGCATAGATCTAAGTAAAAACACGTTGAGCAACGTAATTTTTCTCAAAATATTTATTAAAAAATCTCTATCAAAAGAATTAAACTATACAATTACCGATAGCTGCTACATTGGGAATGTGTAAATGGCGGCGTACGAATTCTTTGATAAAAATTTAAGCATAATTTCGTATTGCGAGTGATGCTGTAGAAAGAAAAGAGGAGAGACAAAACTGTAGACTCGCTTATTGCGGTTGTGAATCTAGTTACTAGTGTTTTCCTCGTCCTGCTTTTGTCTTCTCTCGACCGCGCCTTTTCTTGATAACCATATGAAAGCAATAACAAGGAAACAACGCAACGTTTATAAGCGGCAACTGTGCCATGGCAATAAAAGAAAGGCAGAAGCGTTCGCGTTTAACTCAGTCTCTTACAACCATATTGTTTTACCATTGCTACAAAATCGAACGAATCTCTTATAAACGTCAAGGCGTTGATACTAATTGTGCCTATTACGTTAGTAAAGAGTATTAAATATCAAAGACAATCTTATAAGATATATAGTACTTGATAATACACGAAATGTGGTAATGATAATAATTCTAGTGGTATCATATGAGATAACTAAAAATTCTGATACATTCGTTTCGCCTTACACTTGTCATGTTTGTTGCAATAAATTCATATTTTAAATCCTAATTATAACTTAACTAACAGTATTTCTACAACCATGTAATATTACCAATTTTTCAACAATTTATCGAGGCATGGAAAAATAGCTCGTTTTTATTATGGTTTGAGCGAGATTTATATTCTGCGACACGAGTTATCAATCAAAATCAGAAACAAAGCTTTTCGCGCTGAAGCCAGGAGGCTGTTTAATGTAGTTCACGTCCATCCAAATCTGCAAGCGTCGAGTAGCTGTACACACTCGGATGTTCCGACCACGTTAGAGGCAACGCAATCTAGCACTCAAACTATGATATTGTAATTGCATCAATTACCGTGGGGCATCGCTTGAACAGCTTGTGTATGCTTAGACATTCGCTCCAAGTGTTTGAAAGCTCATCATGTTTCATGTGCTCAAACACACGTGCGCACGCGCGCGCGCACGCACGCACGCACGCACGCACGCACGCACACTCACTCAATCGCTCACTCGCTCATTCATTGCAAAGCTCTAGAGGCCAGCTAGCTAAGACGGGAAGTTAGTGGGATTGAAAATTTATAAACTCGGTTAATAGAATTACCGTAACATGTTACTAAAAGAAAATTAATTTTAAGGTAGACGTTTCGAACCAAAGCTCAGCTATAAACATA